AAAAAGTGAACTTTCTGGTGGTGATAAAAATAACATTTTTGCTCCGTTTACCTTGCAAAAAAAAAGATCCCCAAAAAAACAAAAACTTTCTAAGTACACAAAAACTCATGAAACGTCTTTATATTGAATATTCACTGAGTTTTAGGTTAAAACTTTACAATTAATTTCTTCTCCTGAGCTTTTTTATTTTTCAAAAAGAAATGCTAAGAAAATGTTTTAAGGAGTGGGACAAGTGAGTCTTCAATGAATCCCTTTGTCGTCAATCTGGAAAATAATGCATTTTAAACATGTGTTTCTTTTAGAGATGACGAAATGAAAGAATTTAATTAAATTTTCCAATACTCAAAATTATGGGGTAAAATCAACGAAAACCTTTTAAGATGGACTCCAGTGCCACAGGAAGCAGCCTTGCAGCCTTGCATTTTCAACGCCCTGATCTTCTCCTCCGGATCAGCAAGGAGCGCCACTCAGAACTTTAGTGGAACATCCTTTCCCCAACTTGGAGGAGCTCCAGGCAGCTCTGCAGTGCAAGGACAGCCTGACCTACTTGGAGAAAATCGCAGTGGACGGTGAGGGTGGCAGAGGGGGAAATGAGACCCGGGGTCACTGCCTTGGAGACATGGCCCCGTCCCGGACCCTGGCACCTAATGGAGACTGCGCCATGTTGGCTTCTAAAGGCTCTTGATGAGCAGAAGGGTTGGGGGAAGATGAGTCTGAAACAGATTAAGTTCCTTCACTCAAATGCAGAGGAGACATCGAAAGGCGTAATTTCTCACAGTGCGCATGGAGGATTAATAGGGTTACAACTAAGTAGGAGTCCACTAATAAATACACTTGGCCACTACAGGGCACAGTGTCCTCCGGACTTTACTGTATTCCCGAGGGCCACAACTCCAAGCGGACGACAGCATGCACGTGTTTACACTTGTTTCACAAAAGCAAAGGCAACACCAAAATGCTTTCTCCTGTGGGGCACAACACAAGACACAAGGATGGGAAATATACTGCGGTGTTAACTCAGAGCTTGTAAAAGTTAGGTTTAAGTAAAACTTTAAAATTAAGAGACAAATGGAAGTCTAACACCATAAACCAAGAGAGAATGTTTGTAAAAAGCTACGTGGAATTCTTGGATAATTTCCTACTTTAGGAACAATGACGGTCACTGCTCTTTCTCACAATGGGGACAGCGCTGTCCTATCGGCCCTGAAATCCCTTCCCTCCTCCTCCCACCCCACCCTCTGCACCCCGGTAAGAGCCATCTGGTGACTCCTAGACGGAGATGCCAGTTTTCAAACAGGCGGTTCCTAAAAACAGGCTTTAAGTTACTCAAAACAAACTTGAAGGTAAATTTTCCTGGGTGGCTTCTGCAATGAAGTTTCACTTGATACCCTCAGGAAGACATGAGACAGACTTGATTTTCGTCACAGAGTAGTGTGATTAGAAAATGTGAATTTGAACAGATAGAAATAAAAGAGGGATAGGGTACAGTAACTGTCCTTCTAAATAAAATTACTGTTTAATGTCAAATGAGAATTCTGCACTGTCAGAAAAAAAAATGGAGCAAACAATTCGTGAATTCAATACGTGAATTCTGAGAAAAATAAAAAAGATAATAGAAACAAGTTTTCAACATGACTTAAAATGTTTAACTTGTGTCCCAAAACGGCAAGCTAAATTGTGGGAGTTTCAAATGACCTCAGTTTATAGTCTCAATTTGTAAATCAAATTTGAAAAACTGTAAATGTGTATAGGTAGAATGTCACAATTCAAATTTTATCTTCTTGCAAAACTACAGGGAAAGGCCCTTCTGCTCATACTTGCCTGGGGTACCTTTCCTAAAAGTGTCTTCCTGGTAAACATTTGTTCGGTTTCATTTTCACCACTAGGCTGCCTATCTCCTGGCCAAAGACAAGTCTCACCTAATGGTAACAGAGGATTCAGTTTTTGGTTTGAGTGCCTGAAGAAAATATCCTTTAATAGAGCAATTTTATTTGACTTAATTTTCAAAGAACTGCTGTTTTAAAAAATTCCAGTTAAAAAGAAAAATTAAACAGTTCTAAAAATAAACAATATTTGGTTAAACAAATACACATGTTTTAAGCATATGGGCAAAAATGAATGTTAGCGCAAACATACAGCAACATTTTCTCCCTCCAAAAAAATCTCAGAGCAGAAACAAAAAAAGTTATTTTGGCTTAAATTATGAACCCATTTTTAATAAGTAATCATTTTTTCCTAAAGAAAAAACATTTGTACAGCCCCAGAAACCTGTTTCATTTCAGCCTTTGTGCAACACCACACATGAAAAGTCTATTCATAAAAGAAATACCAGGCTCTGAGTCATTTCTGTCATTCAGCTATACCATGTACAAAGTCGTGAGCTCGCCGGACAGAGATCACTTGGATACAGAGGCTGGATTCTCTCCTAAAACTCACTCACTTTCCAGCTTTCAGTTTTCATCGGTTCTTGTCTGGGTCACGCTCCCAGCACACAATGTATCTTAGCTGTTTCCATCCCTGTCCCTTCCTCCCTCTCTCGGTCCCTTTCCCACCGGAGAAAGATCCGTGTCCCTACTATCTGCCTTTTACTTTGCTTTTATTTATTTAGTTTTTCATATAAGAGAAACCATACATATTTAAGTTTGTGTGTCTGATTTATTTTACCTTATATTGTGGTATCAAAGTTTAAAACAGCACTTATTCTAGGAGGTTCTCTTTTCTAATTGAATCACATTTTCAAGTTTTGAAAAATTTATTATTTTAGTACAGTTGTGCTTTGCTTATACTTTGGCAAAACAGGATCTAGCATTTTATTGCATTTGCTACCAACTCTCACCACCCATTAATACATTCGCAGGTTTGGAAATACACTGTCCTGGGCTCAGCATCCATTTCTTCTCCTCCTAAGATAAAGCAGGGTACGAGGACTCAGTGTCAAGGGCCGAGTAACACTCACCCCAAATGGGAAATCTAGAGCCCCACGGACCTGCACTCAACAGAGATTTCCAGGACGAAAAAGGCAAGTTTTAGATGAAAACATGCTAATGAGGGAAAAGACAAGACACTCAGCAACTCAGCTCCAGACTGAGCTGTGGGGCAGAGACTTGACAGGCAAAGTGGAAGTCACTTTCTCTCAACCTGTAACTCGGTCTTATGTTTAATAGTCTATACTGCTGTATGAGAATGTTCTTTCAAGGTGATGCTTCCTCCAACCAAGTAAAAAAGACACCTGAGGAGAAACACACAAAACTTTTTAACTTCTCTGTAACAAAAAAGAGCCCACACTATCCACTTCTACCGTAAAAACTAAATCAAGCTGATCTTTTTTAAACTTCTTAGAGTGAGGATGTTCCATGTAACTGTTAGAAGAGTATTTCGTTTTAGGGAACGTTTTGAATAAGAATGTTGTGCTGGGTTCAGAGTGCTTTTGAAGCCCAAAGACCAAATGCTCGGTTTTAACAAACCAACAACGTCTGCTCATTTCACCCAAATCTTTTCGGCTTAAATATTCACAATGTGCCATTATTACCGAATCATTATCTGCCTTTAGCTCTGACAACAGCATCGTACGGGTATGAAAGGCTCCTTTCTTCTCGTGATTAGCCCCTAAAACATTTCCTCATCTTACAGTGCTTTTCGGCTTCCCAGAATGCATCGCTCAATTACAGTGCTGAAATTAACTGTATGCTCCTCTTATTTATTGAGAAAAGAATAATCAGGCACTCCAAACCATGTCATAGGTTGCCCACAATTTTATATCAAATTTCAAGTAATAAAAATATTAACCCTTTAAGGATGCCAATTTTGAAGCCCGCCATTTATTTGTTTTTAACTTGGGGGCTGTGTCATATTTTAAATAACATCCTTTACAGCATACAGCTGTTCCAGTGAATTCTTACTGTCCATGGAAGGTTCTTTATCTTAGTATAAGAATCTGTGTGGACTTTAGAGTTTTTATGAGATCACTTTGAAACTCCAATCCTCTCCTCTGCTTTGTAAAGTGGGAGTTCCTTTTCCTCCTCCAAGCTGGAAGCTGCTGTGGCTGACCTTCTGAAAGCAGGAAGCAGATACAAATGAAAGCTAAAATTGAAATGGAGAAAGGCTCCACATCCACCAGAATTTTGTTTATACCACTAGATAGCACCTCTTCCTCAATAATAGTGATTTTATTAAGTAGAGGACGTTGAGTGATTTTTTTTACATTTGCTTTTCAAATAACTTATTCCACAGGTATTCTGTGCAGCCAACATTATGAATTAAATTCGCCAATCTTCACAATTATTAAACTGATTTTTTTCTACGTTTTGCAGGAGCCATCATCAATGTACTTAGTACTTTCTTAAGTGGATGGAACATGGAACATCAACTCTACAGCTGAAATACACTTAGAGGATATGTGTTGGGTAAACAAAGATAGAAAACAATGGATTAAATCTAGGGCTATTCATGCTTGTGTGAAAATGGAGGGAATATTTAACACGTGGATTCCTTATTTGTGTTATACCTTCTGCCAACAGAAGAATGTAAATAAAAACACTCTTTAAGCCTCAGAGTTCCTCACTCACCCGTGCATACATTAATCATTCATACCGCATGATTATTGTTCAGCATTTTCCGCAATACCAAATTGGAGGGTGTGGGGGTTATTGTGGGTTTCAGCAAACCACATTCTATTTAGGCAAAGCCAAGTATTAAAGAAAGGCCTAACTTGCCAAACCAAGATAAATACATGCCATTATTATGATTACATAAAAGGCACTGTTCTCCACGTTACAATTTCTCTTATAATTGGCACTATTATAATTAAATGGATTCATATGTTTACAATTCTTCTTTGAATTGTAAAGTGATTTAGCAATGACAGTGTCTCTAATTTCTTCTAACTATACTGACAAACTTCACTTAATCAGTGGTCTAAATACCACACAGCCACAATAAATTAGGTAAATACCCAGGAAGGCCCGCACTGCTACCGAGTCTGAGTGAGTTACGACGCGCGCCAGGGTGAGTCACGGTTCTGTGCCGGCGGGAGGGAGGCAAGCGAGCCGGGGCTCGTACCACGCAGGCAAAGCCCTGTGCGTTTAGAAGCAAACAGGAAGTAACGGAAAACCGCAAACACCCCCGCAGACGGTTCTGCGTGCTCCTCTCGCCTGCGGCGTCCCGGAGTTCTTCACCGGCTTCTCCCCCAGCCGACAGGGGCAGGAGCCCGTCACAGAAACTCTTACCAAAGACTGCAGGAGGCACGTGTGAAAAACGAAACCTTCACACAGTGAGTGTTGAAACTATTTTCCCAAGACGATTTACTCACTTCTCCCCTAAGTTATTTCACTTTCTTCTTTTTATAAGGTGTATAGTATACATTTGGTATGACGAGGTAAGTTTTTGGTTGTTTTTCAAATGACTCGAGACACTTGTGGCTTCTTTGGCTGTTTAAATGTCTGTGAAATCTAATCCTGACAGTAAGTGCATTTTAGAGAACATTTTTGTGTGTAATGACGTTAAGTACTATTTACTAGGTTGTGCTATACGTGCAGATGCTTAGGCAGAAAAGGTCAGAGGCACAGATATGCACTGTTGTTATATTAGTACTGAGATTTTTTTTTTTATTTGTTAAATCTCCATCTTGAACATCTTATTGGGAAACAAAGTAGAAGACAGCCAGAAATATCATTGTGACTTTGGCCCAAAGTCTAGGCAATGCTTGTAGTTGAAGAATATGTAATTATTGACCTGGGGTTTGTTCGTTCCTCAGGGATTTCTAAGTAACTTATTTGTAACAGAGTTCATAAGAAGTAAGTAAAGTCTGTCTTACTCAGTAGAAATGTAAAATAACAAAAGCATAATGAATACGCAGAACTGAGGCAAAACTGGCTCTTTCTTTCCTTTTCTTTTCCTTTAATGTACTAAATTATGAATGAGAGCTCAAAGCTGTCTGGTTTGGTTTCCAAGTTTCAATGGAGACACCAAATTTCCAGCCAAAACGAAGCAAAATCCTTTTAAATCCTCTAAAAATGCAAAACCCTGCAAAAATATTCTTAGGATGATTGTAGGAAAACAGTAATTCCATTACAAACACTTGGTAATGCTCCGTGTAAAACTGGGAGATCGCGTAGCTGGAAGAGAAGAACCCAGACGAGCAAGGGCTTGATATTCACAGTTTGGTGCTCGAACACTGAAAGAAATGACTGAATTTCCCTGTTCACTCTTTCTCACACATTTTTCTGGGAAAAGAAAAACATAGCTAATAATTATAAAAACAATTTCCAGATATTTACTCGTAAAGCAATGAAATAATCCTTGGAACTCAGAATTGTGTTGAACATCTTAGCTACGCATTGCTTATGTACTGGGTGAACTTTAAGGACCCATGTAGAGAAACTGTTGACTTTCTGGAAAAGACACAAGAGACAAGCCCACCTGGCCTCGGATTTGTGTTCAGAACAGAAGTGACCACTCAGCTCTGGGGGTGGAAAAACACCACACTGGCTTTGCAGTGGTGCGGCCTCTCGCCGCATCAGTCCCCGGACTACTCCAGGTGCAGAAGGGCCATTTCATTACGAAAAAACACCTCCCCAGTGAGGCTGGGAATTCCGACCAAGACAAAACCTCACACCTCCCAGCTTACAAGGTGCGTTCATGTGGGTCTAGGTATAAATCATGGTGTGGCCCAAGCCAACAGAGCAGGACTTTGCTAAGAACCTGAATTAAAGATGTCCTCAAGGGCTGGGGATGTAGCTCAGTCACACCACGCCTGCCTCGCAAGCACAAGATCCTGAATTCAATCCCCTGTACCAAAAAAAAAAAAAAAAAAAAAAGTCCTCAAACTGGCCATGTCCTGCTCTTCAGCCTTGTGTATTATTCCTAATTTTCCAACTCTATCTGGGCCAGTGCAGTGTAATACCTGCCATTCCTGACCAGCCCCTGTCACACAATCTCTCAGAATTGGTGGAAAACAGGCAGCAAGCTCACCTGGGAGCCCGGCCAGGGCAGTCTTCATGCATATAAGCAAAAACAGACAGAAGCGCCTCCCCTCCAAAAAGAAAACCACTGAGGTTAATGAGCTACAGTATGCACCACATACCAGGATGAATGAAATAGTAATTTTAATAACACACCCTCAATGCCTTTTATACCTGGTTAACTGCCAACAGGTAGAAAAATAGAACTCTCCCACTAAGTCACAATAATTCATGAATTTTAGAATTTAGGTAGAAAGTGAAAAGCAGGCCTGAGTAACTACCCAACTCTGGTTTGAGTGTTCTACCGTGGGCCTTGATTGCCCCTTCTTTCCTGTGTGCCCCCAGGGTTCTCATACTGATCCAGTCTCCATCGGTTGGGGGGACACACTATGAGCTCACTGGACACAAGAAAGTTTCTAAGAAGAGGGACAGTGACATTGATATCCTTGAAAAAAACATGCAAGCAGAAGTTGCCAGTAGCAGCAGCAGTCCACCTGTGGGGACCCCATCTCCTCTGGAAGAGATGAACACCGTGGCCTCTCTTTCCCCAGGAAAATGCACACACACCCAGACAACCTGGTGTCAGCACTGCCACATGTGGCAGGAGCCTGGTTTCCACCAGGAGCCCCTCAGAACTTTGGAGAAGCAAAGCACAAATCAGCAACAAACTGGGAAAGAGGATGGGCCTCAGACACGAAGTGTGTATCTATCTGCACATTAGGCGTATCTGTTGTAATTACCTAGCAACAATGCCAACTATCCCTGGCAAATCCTATGAAGTAATAAGGTTGGCACGCAGCCCCCACAGAGATTTCTGCCTTACACTCTGGATGAACAAGGAGATAAGTATTCATCTTTTGCTGTTGTTTGAGACAGGGTCTCGCTCTGTAGTTCAGCCTAGGCTGGCCTCAAACTTGTGGCGATGCTGCTGCCTCAGCCTCCCGAGTGCTGAGACTGCAGGTGTGCACCACCACGCTGGGCTAGCAGGACATAAATACATATAAAGTGTCTTCTGTGTGCCAGTGACTGTGTTCAACACCTTTATGCATCACCTCCTAAGCCACCACATGGAATCCTTTTTACCTTGTCCAAGTTGGGGGGTGGAGGTCAGTGGCCAGTGTGGAAGGCCAAGGTCTTCGACACAGTGCCAGGCTGAGTACAGCATCCTCTCTGGGCCCTCTGCCCCGTTACATTGGGATGCCACTGGCTTGAGGTCGCTCTCACTACCGTGACACTGAGCAGCCTTCCCCCCAAGATAAAGAAAGCACAGCCGCACATGGGGCTGTGGGGCGAAGCCTTCGCCACTTCCTTTGACCTGCGCCTGCCAAACAAACTCCCTTTCCCAATCTTGAGCTCACCCTGCAAGATCCAGGGGGTCCTTTCCTGCCGACCACAGCCCCACTAAGGACGATTAACTGAAACTCAGGCTTCTGAACAGTGCTGACAGCCAGCTGCAGGAAGGCTATGAAGGAAACTACAGATCACCCGTCCTGATCGTAAATTTCAGAATTACTTGTAGCTCTCTTCCTGGCACTCTTAAGCACGTTAACAGCCATCATGCGGTAGACGCGGCTATTTAAAAGCTTAATCCGTCCCCTTTCTAGAGAATCACACAGGGCTGTGAAGATGACCGCCACACTGCCACCAGGGAGAACGCACCAGCAGCTATTCCGAACATCTGTCTCAGAGGCAATTAATTTACCTGAGAAATCAGTTGTTTTGTTGGATGTTTAAAACAAAATTAACTATTCAAATTGGAGGAAACAGTGAAACTTGCTGGTTTCCTGAGGCAAGGGAGGTGATGCCCATGTTCTACCTGAAGCCAGGCCCCTGGAATTCCGGGCCTTGAGACACCTTCATGCGCTGTTCTCCACCAGGGGCTTTGGGCTGGGTGTGGAGAAGTGAAACCGAGGATGGAGGTGGGCGTGCCCAGGGCAGGAGACAAGAGCATGGCCTGGTGGCCACTCGGGCCTCAGGCCCTTCAGGAGACGCAGACCATGTGCACAGTGAGGCCGACAGAAATGCGACTCCCTAAGAGCGGTAGATGACTCGAACCAGCACCATGCCAGGTTCCCGGCCTCACAGCCTCTCCTGCTCAGAGACGTCTGCAGGTCGGGAAACCATCACATCCCTAGCAAATGAGCTGTCAGGCGTGTCGAGGAGTTTGTACTCGTGGCAAGGTCACGGGAGCTGTCCTGTGCTTTTTCGTTGCGATTCCCTGCTCAGGTCAGGACGACCTCGCGGAGCAAGACCCAAGGAAAATACGTCCTTCCATCAGCAGCCTGCCGGCGTCGGCGAGAAAGACGGCCTCGGTATTCACCTGATCTGCACAGAGGAGAAAGCAGCACCTTCCGCGTTCGCGAGTCTTCACAGACGGGAAACTAGTCGGTCCCCTTGAATACGCCACACTCCTGCGATGCTGCTGGGGACGCCAAGGTCCCTGTCCTCGTGGGCATCGCCAGGAAGGGCCTCGGGCTAATCAGAGAAGAAGCTGGATGCTATCAGTGGGCCAGGCTTCTGCTCTTTCACCTTGCTTCAGACACACTGAATGATTCTCCCAACAAAGTGACCGTCTTGTCTTCCAGCACAGTGATTTTAATGCTCTTGGTTTCTGAGCACAGACACGTGGAACATGTGTATCCAAAGTGTGTGGCATCGCACGGAAGGGGGACAGGGCCCCTTTGGAGTTTCCCAGCAGTGTCACTGAGAACAGAAATACTTCTGTGGGCAGCACACGTTTTTATGCCTCAGTAACAGTGTAACTGCTTAGAGTAGTTTGACAATCATGAAGAATCCATCAAATGTATTATTAAATCTCTGCATTAAAAATGCTCCTTGCAACAATGCTAAAACCTCTGACTAGGTATTACTTTTTTCAGGTTTTAAAAGAAAGCTATGCACTGAGAAACACTTGAATTTTGGTAAATATCTCACTACAGGCCACATCTTTTATTGACAACTTTAAACATGTCATAACCCTATCTGGTGTTACAGGTGGAAAAGTGCATTGCTGGATCTTTGCGAGCTCTCAAATTTGATTATACTGTTATCACGATGGAAGTTAACTTTACAAACAGTTCACGGTTTTAGCATTAAGGTTTATAATTGCAGTGTCAACTGCTATATGGGCTAAGGCATTAAAGAAAAAGTGCATTTATAAAACATCATCCATTCTGCCATGCTGTCAAATATGACATAACAGCAGAAAAAGAGGTCTTCGGAAACAAAGGTTTGGCTACAGAATACTACAGAAGTGAAAGCACAGGTTCTTCAAGCAGAGGTCTTATCCCATAGCAGACTTCAAAGTGACAGTTTAATATCACAAGGGAAATTTAAGTTCCCAGAGCCTCTGGTTCCTCCTCTATGAAGTGGGTGGGGGGGGGTTAGTGGGACAATGATGGTAATAATAACAGAAAAAGCAAGTACAAGCTCAAATATTGTGTAAGGACCGGTGTGAGATGTTAGCTGGTATGCAGATACAATCTCTTATCTGCCCAGCTTGAATTTCTATCAACCAAAAACCACTTTCTGGCTTCTCACTCAGTGTTCATCCCTGGAACCCGAGGTAAGGTAAATGAGCAAAACTCGTGCTTTCCAGGATCTTCCTTTTTTACCTGCCAGGGCTGAGGGTGGAGCTCCATTTAACCAAAGTGGTTCAAGCCAAACTTGAAAGCCTCCAGCCGGGAACATCCTGAGAATACCAGCCTGACCCTTCCTGCCCCTCAGGGGGAAATCCTCTCCCAAGTGCCAGCCATGGATTTATAACTTCAGTAGCCTGTCCCTCTGGTCTCAGCACAGCCCTGAAATAACACCGCACACCCATGGACGGCGAAGGCCACCGCAGCACAGTGGGTGCCGTTCTTCCGGTGAAACTCTGGGGGTGACTCATGGGGCTCAACAGGTTTTGGTCCCCACTTTCCCTGTGTAGACCTTCCCTGGGAGAGTCACGGAAGGTAAAGCCAAGACTGAACACATTTTGGACACGGGGACAGGAACACACCGTGTGTGCACTGCGAACGGGCAGGGCAGCCAGTGGAGGCTGGGAGACCTGCAGCCCACATCATTCTGAGCTGTCAGCGAGCAGGGTGCTGAATGCTGAGGGAAAATGGATTTTATTCTCTGAGACGCCCGCTGTCCTTTCCAAGGAACCATCCTCACACAGTAATAAATATCCCCATACACTGTGTGGCATCGAGGGCATTTTATCCGGGAAAACAGCAATAAGATCGCTGTGGCGCTGAGGTTCTTCCAACGCGAGTTCAGCTGGGGTGGGAAAGCATGCCCATGTGCCAGTGTGGATCGAAATGACACATCGCCAACTGGAGACGAAAGCAGCAAAGGGAGAAGCGTGGGCTGTGTCAGGAGCGGGGTGACACATACTGACTCCTCTTGGATGTGGCCTTGCAGTCTGTCCCACACGAACACTCATCTTCACAACCCCGTCTCTTGTTGACATCGAAACATTCGCACAAAATCTATATTAGGCGCATGGCGCCGCTGACTCAAATGGTATCCAAGTCTGGAGCATCGGGCCCGATGCCTCGGTGAACTCAAATATCAACTGCCCACCAGACGCTCGCGAGGGTGAGGGTGTGGATCCAAGCACGCGAGACAGCTGGCAGTGCCACAGCGTTTCCATGTGCTGTAAATCAAAACCCAGGTTATTTTCAATTTGAAATCTCATCGCCGTTGCCCCTGGGTTACGCTGGACCTTCTATGTTTCTTTTCCTTGTGATCCTGTTGCCTGATTCTAGAGGCCTGGACCACTCCAGGAACACAGCACAGGGACAAGGGACAGTGTGAGGGCCACAACGCCTCGCCTCCTCAGGCACCGAGCCAGGCCAGGGGCAGGGCGCAGCTGCACACCAGAGAGAGGCGAGCTGGCTCCAAGCAACACCTACTTTCGATCATCTGCAAGTGGTCTAACCACAAGCCTCCCTCTTCCCACGGCTCACCCTCGGTCTGGCTGCTACCCAGCCAGGACTGGATGGGGGGCTCCAGCCTGAAGGGGGCGCCTGTGCCAGAGGCGTGGTCCCAGGGAACTGAATGTGGGTTTCCTTTGGCAGAGCAGGCCGCAACCCTCAACTTTACCAGGAGCACAAGCACAGAATCAGAATGGAGACAAAACTGTGCACCTTTGTAAATGCTCTGTGACTCGTCTCTGACGTCACTGTGCAAATGCTTGGGGAACGACAGGGAACTTCACAAATCCCATCCCCTCTGTATTCCCACAGCTCCTGGGCCTTTCCACACTGCCTGCTGCACGCTATGCCACACACACTGGAGATCAGGTGAAGATACTCCAGTACCAGCCAACGACACTCAGAATTCAAAGTCCTATTTCCGAAGCCCAAAGCAACCTCATAGGTTAGTATCACACTCTCCTGGAAGTAAATGGTTTTGGGCAGTCTTAAAGAACAAGTCTTAGCTGTGTCAAAGGTGATGCACGGGGATGTCTCCGGTGGGTAACAGGTGGCATCTGAGCGGCAGGTGGAGTCCGGTTTTGACGTTCTGCCCCTACTGCCCTGCAGCAGCGAAGACCAGCTTGCTCCCTGTGACTCTCAGAAAAGCAAACTTCAGCATTAACTGTCACCTCCTTGAAAATCTACAACAAAACAGCCTCTTTCTCCTGCAACTGTGATCCAGTGGCTCTCAAGTGTGCGAGGTGAGTCAGTGTACCAGGTGTGCTCCCGCTTCGGAAGACAGGATCCCCTCCAAACATCTCTGACTGATGCACCACGAGGGGTGAGGGGGCTTCCTGCTGCCCCTGTTAGCTCTAGACACCTGCGAAGCGGAAATCTAAGCTGGGGAAATTGGGTTTTATTTATAAAATGGGATTAATAATACTAAGACTTCACAGGGTCAGAGAATTAAGTGAGATGGTTCATGAATGCTCTTCTCTTGCTAACTTTTTAAAAATGCACAGTTACTTATCATTAC